CATATTCAAACCAACTTATGGATATATCTTAACAAATTTTAATTGATATGCAAGGTTTTGAATTTGATATTATTAGCAGGGGAGCAAGTTTTTGGGTAAGCATTTGCTACAGCTCGAACTTTAAAAACTCTGACAAAACTTTCACAAACTGAATTACCAAATGGAGTAGGAAGCCGGCAAAACCAGAGTTACAAGAAGCAGGTGACATGAAAAGAGTGAAGGGCACCGATGGGAAGAACACCAGACCAAAAGAAAGAACAAGATCTGTACTACTCTGTCTCTCTGACATCAATGGACAATGTAGGTGACGGCCAATGCCAACACCATCAGACCAAACGCTATCGCCTGATCCAACTTTGCCCCTACACCGACCACGGAACTTAAAAGTTTAATAACTCGAGTTGTTGAAAGACGTTACGAAAGTTTGTTGTACTATGTTCTTACCACTGTCATCGCCGGTGGGAGAGGGAGAAGAGGAAGTGGGAGGTGGGGATGATCGGCGGTGGCGAGATGAAGCCGCCGGTGGGAGTACCGGAAGAAAGGAAGTTAACAGAAGAGCCGTGGCTGCAAACGCTACTCTTCCTCCCAAAACTTCCATTATCATCGATCAGAACCAGTTATTCTGTATTCTCAATTCTTATTGCCCGACTTTGATAAAAGCACATGATTACCCGACTTTGGAGTAGTCGAGGGAGGTCATCGTGCTAAGTCAAAATCATTGGACATCTCACTTACGTACGTTCCCACTTGTTACAGCAAACTCAAACTCCCCAAAGAGATTGATTTTTCTGCAACCAAAACAATGTCGGGAACCTTTTGTCTTGTTTTGTTGCCTTGCCTCGTCACCCTCCCAAAAGTCAGATGGACAAAACGAGCAAAAAACCAACCAGAAGAACAATGTCTTGGATGTGTGGTTTCTGTAGGTATGCAAACTCTGCCCTCTCGACGATCTGGTAGACATTACTACGACTTTAGAAACTGCGAGTTGAGCAGTGGTGCCATTGGCGGTTCGTGTTGTGCAGAATGCAAATACACAGCTTATGGTATGAAGCAAACACCCAACTGATAATATAAGACGTAGATAAACAGCTTCATTATCATACTGTACATATTCCATTCATTGATCATGAGTTTTCTACAGAGGACCAGCTATTCATGAGTCCATCCAGCCTAGACTAATTGGACTACATACAAAAGAAGCTCGGATTTTCCTACGGAAGACCAGTTATTTGCCAAAAAGAAAACAGGTGTTGGAGCCTGAATAAGGTTAGCTAGACTAATAAGACTACATACAAATAAGCACTGACGTTCCTTCTAAGAAGAGAGAGGGTTTTCAGAGTTTGAAACTTACAATCACCAAAAAGGTAAAATCTCACACCAGAGGCTTTACTTGTTGTCCAAGGCAGGTGGGAAGAAACGGTCCTCTTTATTCCTGTAAATATCGAACAGCTGGTTCGAGTATTTCACAGCCAAGCGTCTGCATACATCGACTCCGTCAAAAGCTTCGAATTTCTTAGGTTTATATGCCTGCAATTCTTCCACAGACTTGCTCAAGTCGCCTAGTGGGCCAATCAGAAACACATCAATCTTGGAGCCACTGCGAGTGACGAGAGAGAATTCAGCAAATAAACCAAGGACTTGCAAATTGCTTGTTACTCTTGAACAAGAAAAGAAACAAAAAAAAAAAAAAAAGAATATATTAAGGGCACAGGAAGGTTCTTAGGATGTCTTACATGTAAGCATCAGGCTGGCTGAATCCTCGGTGATTTTTATCAACTGTACTCTTGATGCATTGTTCATTATCAGTTTGCCGTCAGTAAATAGCACAAACAGCACTCATGCACAGTTCATCATCTTCCCCACAAATCTCGAAGCACCTCACCTGATAGCTTCCAGTTGAACTCCCGAACCCTGTTACTTCTTCTGCTAAGCCAAGACACAATCTTTTCCATCTGCTTGTCGCAATCAGAACCATCACTATTATCAGAACTCTTGTCGCTAAATTCCTCAATGCTATCACCTGAAACATCATCTGACCCTCTTCTTTTGAGTCCACATCAGAACCCTCTTCTTCCTTAATGCTGTCACCTGAAACCTCAGAACCCTCTGCTTCCTCAGCAGCATCAGCATCAGCATCATCCATAGTTTTGGAAATCCCTTGTTCGTGTTTGGTTCCATTATTAGGCTCATCAACTCTTCCCCTCCACCGCCTCCTACCAGGGGTTGCTGCATCTATCACATCCTGATCATCATTATCATTATCATCACTGGTTGAAGGCGAATGCATAGTAATTGATAAGCCATTTGCACCACAATTGGCTTGACCTGAGATATTGTAAGGTTATCATAATCGCTCTCACTATCACCAATAACCATGTTTGCAGCTCTCTTCCTTTTGAGCATAAACGCACACGGGGTGCTAACATTACACACATCCATACCATATTCAAGCCAGTGATCATTAGATTTGCTCTCCAAACTGGTTTCAAGTGCTTTTGCCTTTTCATCACTATCATCAGGTTTGTTATCACTGCCCTCTAAATGAATGACGCCAGAACAAGCACCTTTGGGATCTCTAGGAGTCGATGGAGCTATCTTTCGCAGGAAATATTCTTCTTCTTTTTCTTCAAATGATAACTGTCTTCTAACTTGACCAACACAACCTACTCTTAATTTCTGCCCTCTGATATAGGACTTCTGTTTGCTCGCAAGATTGCTACATGGTTTTCCATCTTCAGTCGACATCCTGTCGTCAAAACTTCTTCCTACCCTCGACTTCAATTTGTGGTACATTCGTTGCCAAAACTAGAAATTTCAGAAAAGAGCCAACCGGCCTCAGTAAAGGAGTTATATCAGTAGATAAAGGAACAAATAGCAAAGGTAGATAATCCAATATCGGAATATTGGAGCTGCCTAGTGAGAACCAAGCCCTAAACCTCAAAATCCAAACGTTTTTGGTCTGAACAGAAGAGAATAGAAGGACCACAGCAAAAACTGGTGGGGGAAGAAACCTACGATATTGCACTGAAAGATCGCAACTTTACTGTGCATAATATAAACCTATTCAACTACGTTTCTACTCTAACAACTGGAAAGATTTTATCTTTAGCCACCAAAATCAAGTTCTCGCTCGACCCATTACAGCTACCCATTCCTTTCCGCAGCTCTCAGACTCAAATACTGTAAACCCAAAGCAGGAAGGAAGGAAACCCAAGAAACAAATGCACCAAAAGGTCACACCTCCGCTCTAGATTTTCCTAGAAAACCAAACAGATATGAAAGGGAGGCAAGCAGCAGAGCGACACGGAGGACACACACACACACAGTTACAAGAAGGTGAGGAAGTACCTTACGTGGATTGGCCACCTCTAGGGACAAGGGCTTCGCGGGAAGCTTTCTTCTTCGAGCAAAGAGTAGTTGAAATTGCGACTGAACGGGGAAAGAAGCGAGAGCCAATGAAAAGTGGAGTTTTTGTAACTGCCTGCGTGGCGCCTGGCGAGAACAAACAGTAACGGTCGACCCGGTGAGCTGGAGATTGTGGGGGAGGTGGGTCCCACTATGTAATGCCACGTAGGAACCTGGAACTGAGACTCTAATTCGACGAATCAATGAACATAACGACGTCGTTACATAAATGGAAAGATGGCCATATTCAAGATAAACGGCTTTCACAATCATACTGTTACACATTCCATTCATCGGTTCTAAGTTTCCTACTGGAGACCAGTCATACATGAGTTCATAGATGCCAACTTTCCTTTAAGAAGGTGAGGCTTTCCAGGAGACTTCAAGTCACTAGCAGGCAAAGCTCGTGCTCTGGCTTTACTTGTTATCCACTGCAGGACGGAAGAAAGGATCCTCACCATTCTTGTAAATGTTAAACAGTTGATTCGCATAGTGCAACGCCCAATCTCTGCACTTGTCAACTGCCTTGGGATCATATGCTCGCAATTCCTCCACAGACTTGCTCAGATCGCCGCTGGAATCAATCAGAAATGCTGCTATCTTGGAGGCCCTGCGAAGTGACGAGAGCAATAATAAGCATGTTCAGAACAAAAGGGACTTGCATTGTTTTGTACACTAAAACAAGAAACAAGAATTGACCATTGGAGCACCACCCTGCACGAGGGTTCTTCAGATGTTTTTTTTTTACCTGGAACCATGAGATTGACTGAATCCTCGTTTATTGGAGTGGAATGTATTCTTGGCAACTTGTTCATCGCATGTTTGCTGTCGGTAAAGAGCACAAACAGCTCTCATGCAAAGCTCATTATCTTTGCCAAAGTCTGATTGCAATTCACCCACTGACTCCCAGTTGAACTTCTGAGTCCGGCTTCTTTGAAGCTTAAACACGATGTCTTTCATTTCCACTCCGATATCAGCACTGCCTTCCGTTGAACAGGTGTCACCATCAGAAAGTGACGCATCAGAACTCTCAACGATAAATTCCTTCATGCTGTCGTCTGAACTGCCAGAACCCTCTTCTTCATCTGTTGTACTGTCCTCAGCACCATCCGCCGTCGTAGGAATTCCTCTTTCGCATTTGCTTCCGCAGTTAGTCTCACTTGAAGCAAGCTGTTGAGAATCAGGTTTTCTTCTGGATTCACCCATTCTCTTTAACCGCCGCCTACGAGGGGTCACAGTGTCCCTCACATCATCATCATTGTCACTCGCAGAAGGTGAAACAGCCTTTGACAAGCCATTTGCATCACAGCTCACTTTGTGAAAACGCTTTGCGTTCAGTTGAGATAGTGTAATATCATCATCCTCACTCTCACTATCAGTAGCAACCACGTTTGCAGCTCTCTTCCTCTTGGGAGTAGCAGTGGCACACGGATTAGTACCGACGCACACGTCCATACTGTCGTCAAGGCTGAAATCATTAACTCTGCTCTTCAAACGAGTTTCGGGTGATTTCTCCTTTTCATCACTGAAATTAGGTTCGTCGTCACTGTCATCTATATTGATGATGCCAGACCAATTAACTTTGGGATCTGTAGGAGTTGTTGGAGCCTTCTTCCTGATGGAATCCTTTTTCTTTCTCATATAATACATGTCTTCTAGCTTGTCTACCCCTTCTCCCTCTGGATTTCTGTCCTCCATAAAGGGACTCATCATTGCTTGGCAGATTGCTACAAGGTGTTCCTGTCAGTGGACAAAAACTAGCTTGAACTTCGGACTTTATTTTGTTCTATTGACTTATTACACATGACCTATACTACACATTCAGCACACTGAGATTTCAATCAACATAGATATGATGGGAATAGGGAAGAAAATGCAATGGGATCAGTAACAAGGACTAACTATGCTACATTGTCCTCTCTCCGATTCTGTTTAACATTATGCTCTTGTTTACAACTTGGGTTAAAGACTTTCAATTCTTGCAGCTGGGGTGCAAAGCCAACGCAAGAAAATGCAATGGGATCAATATCAAGGACTAACCATGCTGAATTGTCCTCTCCCCGATTCTATTTCACATCATACTCCTGTTTACATGTATGGGTTAGACACTTTCAATTCTTGCAGCAAGGTTCCGTAGCAAAGTCAATGCAACATTGTAAGGTAGGCGAAGCATAAGAAATTGTCTTACTAGAAATGTCAAAAGTAGCTCCAGCAGCAACATGCCCATCTTCAATGTTGTTGGTAATTCTTCCTACTATAGACTTCAATTCCTGGTACTTACGTTTCCCAATTTCGACCTCACTTTCAGCCTTCTTCTCACATGCCAGGGTAACATTCTCATGGTGAAACAGTTCGTTGTCGTCCTCCTCCACTTCTCTTGCCTTCAGAGCTTTGAGTTCATCTTCAATTTCCACAATTCTAAGTTGCAGCGCCTTATACTTCCCTTCGAGTTCTTGATACTCGCTCTTCCTTGTTTCAATCTCTATTTCCAATCCTCTAATTCTCACTTCCGCATTCTTAATCATCTCTTCCGATTCATTACAACTCGAAACCGGTTCACTTCCCTCCAACACTTCAAGCTTTGGAGTTTTGCTTTCCACTTCATCATTCATCGCCATGCCTCGAATCAGATACTAGACATCAAAGACAAAGACTTGCACCCTCCTTGCTAACTGTTCGTTCATAAAATTGAAACCAAAGGAGCTATAATAGCAGTTGGAATTAAGGAATCAAACGCAAATGTAGGTAACAAAATGTCCAAAAACTATGGCTGTCTAGTGAGAACCAAACCCTAAAACTCGAAATTCTCAACCTTTACGACATTACTACAATGAAAGATCGAAACTTTACTGGGGCAACCGGTAAGAAATCAATTTCTCGTTCGACTCGTTACAGCTATTGATTCCTTTCCGCAGCTCTCTGACTAGAACCAAAAGTTCGCACCTTTGCCCTAGATTTTCCTGTAAACCAAACAGAAATGGAAGGGAGGAAGCAGAGCGAGCAGAAGTGAGACGGGAAGGTGGAGAAGCCTACCTGGCCACGTCTAGGGTCTAGGGCTTCGCGGGAGTTTTCCTTCTTCGCGCAAGAGCGGGTGATATTACGGGGGGGAAGAACTGAAGAAGACCGACTCAAAACTGAAAACTCAAAACAGCTAGTTTTTGTAATTGCCACGTCGAACGGGCAACGTGGCGGTGGAGGAATATAATCCGACTTGTACTGCCACGTCGGAACAAATGAAGATAAGAGCAATTTTCTATGCATTTTGATGTTTTTCGATTTGGTTTATTTGTTTGAAATTTTAATTAGTTATATAGTTTTTTCACTTAAATATATAACTCACTCAATTGGCCCGAACTATAACCATACAATCAACTTTGGCCCGTGGTTTCAGAAATTAACATCATGGCCTCAACTATACAACATATAGACTCAATTGACCCGACACATAGTTTGACCGTCAATTTGGACGGTCAACTAGTCAACATGCCATGTCATTGCCTAGTCAGCATAAAAATCATTAAAAAAATTCAAATTCAAATTATTTTCCTAATTTCTATTATTTATCATTTTCCAATTAACCAAAAAATAAAATTCTAAAAATATAAAATATTATTTTTTGGATATTTGAAAATGATAAATTTTATAAATTAACCAAAATTATCAAATTAAATTTTATAATTTAAAAATTATTATATAAATTATATAATTTAAAAATTATTATATAATTTATATAATTTAAAAATTATTATATAAATTATATTTTTTTGGGAAGTTTTAAAAATAAAAAATAATTTGATAAGTTTTGGTTAATTTATAAAATTTATCATTTTCAAATTATCCAAAAAATAAAAATAAATAAATTTATTTTATGTTTTTTATAATTTATTTTTGGTTAATTTGATAATAAATAATTTTTTTAATGATTTTTATGTTGACTAGGCAATGACATGGCGTGTTGACTAACGGTCAACGAAGTTGACCGTCCAAATTGACAGTCAAACTATGTGTCGGGCCAATTGAGTCTATATGCTGCATAGTTGAGGCCAGGATGTTAATTTCTGAAACCACGGGCCAAAGTTGATTATATGATCATAGTTCGAGCCAAAATAAGGTATTAACCCTATAAACAAACAGTAGTGTTTTAATTTTTTGTGTGAATTTGAACTTTGTATGTTCAAAATCAAAGTATATGAGTCAGCATTTCCAGAAGCTCGTCAAACGAAATTGGAAGGTGAATATCTCTCACACTTACAAGGAATGTGACAAAGCATTAGATTTCCCAGTCTACAAACACTATTTGTTTAGTATAGGTTTTCATAATTTTGAGGATTTGAATCTCGGGCTCGCTTTTTGATTTCTGTCCCAAAGTCGTTTAATTTAAGTGTCAGACATGAGTGCCCCCATTTTTTTATATATAAAAGAAGAAAGTGGTTAATGGCACTGCATCATAATCCCAAACGATCTCAAGTCATTGTCTAACTACGTAATCATACATCCATATCTCGAGTTTATATCCTACTTCGTATTAGTAGCAATAACTCAAGGTTAAAATGATGTGATAATCCACGTTTAAGATTTCATACGATTAATAGCAAAGGGCAAAATGTAGGTGTGCCGGAATAGTTAAGTAGTTAGATTGCTAGCTAGACTGCACACAAAATATGCAGTGATCTGATCTCTCTTCCTGCATGAAGGGGAGGCGTCGTATCAGCAATGGAAAAGATGGCCCGATTCGCGATAAAGAGGCTGCTTTCATAATCATACTGTACATATTCCATTCAACGGTTCTAAGTTTCATACTGCAGACAAGGTATACATGAGATCATACATGCCAATTGCCAAAAACAAAACAGGTGCTGGAACCTGGATTGGCTAGTTATACTAATTGCCACTACATACAAAATAAGCGCTGACCTTCCTTTAAGAAGGTGAGGCTTTCCAGGAGACTTCCAATCACTAGCAGGCAAAGATCATGCTCTGGCTTTACTTGTTGTCCACTGCAGGAGGGAAGAAAGGGTCCTCCCCACTCTTGTAAATGTTAAACAGTTGATTCGCATAGTGCAACGCCCAATCTCTGCACTTGTCAACTGCCTTGGGATCATATTCTCGCAATTCCTCCACAGACTTGCTCAGATCGCCGGTGGAATCAATCAGAAATGCCGCGATCTTGGAGGCCCTGCCAAGTCATGTTCAGATAAAAGATACTTGAATTGTTTTGTACGCAACAAGAAACAAGATTTGCCATTGTAGCACAGCCGCAAAAGGGTTCTTCAGATGTTTTTTCCTTTTTCTTACCTGGGAGCATGAGATTGGCTGAATCCTCGCTTATTGGAGTGGAATGTATTCTTGGCAACTTGTTCGTCACTAGTTTGCTGTCGGTAAAGAGCACAAACAGCTCTCATGCAAAGCTCATTATCTTTGCCAAAGTCAGATTGCATTTCACCCACTGACTCCCAGTTGAACTTCCGATTCCTGCTTCGTTGAAGCTTAGCCACGATGTCTTTCATTTCCACTCCGATATCAGCACTATCTTCCGTTGAACAGGTGTCACCATAAGAATGTGATGTATCAGAACTCTCAACGATAAATTCCTTCATGCTGTCGTCTGAACTGCCAGAACCCTCTTCTTCATCTGTTGTACTGTCTTCAGCACCATCCGCCGTCGTAGGAATTCCTCTTTCGTATTTGCTTCCGCAGTTAGTCTCACTTGAAGCAAGCTGTTGAGCATATGATTTTCTTCTGGATTCACCCATTCTCTTTAACCGCCGCCTACGAGGGGTCACAGTGTCCCTCACATCTTCATCATCATCATTATCATCATCGTCACTCGCAGAAGGTGAAGCAGCCTGTGACAAGCCATTTGCATCAAAGCTCACTTTGCGAAAACGCTTTGCCTTCAGTTGAGATAGTGGAATATCATCATCCTCACTCTCACTATCAGTAGCAACCACATTTGCAGCTCTCTTCCTCTTGGGAGTAGTGGCACACGGATTGTTACCAATGCACACATTCATATCGTCGTCAAGGCTAAGATCATCAACTCTACTCTTCAAACTGGTTTTGGGTGCTTTCACCTTTTCATCACTGTTATTAGGTTCGTCATCACTGCCATCTATATTGATGATGCCAGACAAATTACCTTTGGGATCTGTAGGAGTTGATGGAGCCATCTTCCTGATGGAATCTTTTTCCTTTTCAAAAAATAGAAGTCTTCTAGCTTTTCTACAAGTTCTCCCTCTGGAATTCTCCCCTCCAAAAAGGGACTCGTCATTGTTTGGCAGATTGCTACAAGGTGTTCCTGTCAGTGGAAAAGAACTAGCTTCAACTTCGAACTTATTTTGTTCTATTGACTTATTACACTTTACGTTTACAAAAAATTCAGCACACTGAGACTTCAATAAATATAGATATGCGGATCAGTAACAAACAAGGACTAACTATGCCACATTGTTCTCTCTCCGGTTCTGTTTAACATCATGCTCTTGTTTACAGGTTGGGTTAGAGACTTTCAATTCTTGCAGCTAGGGTCCCCAGAAAAGCCAATGCAAGAAAATGCAATGGGATCAATATCATGGACTAACCACACTATATTATCCTCTCCCCTATTCTATTTAACATCCTACTCTTGTTTACAGGTTGGGTAAGACACTATCAATTTTTGCAGCGAGGGTTCCTTAGAAAAGCCAATGAAACATTGTAAAGTAGACGAAGCATAAGAAATTGTCTTACTAGAAATGTCAGAATTAGCTCCAGCAGCAGGTACATATCCATCTTCAATTTTGTCGGTAATTCTTCCCACCATAGACTTCAATTCGTGGTACTTACGTTTCCAAATTTCAACCTCACTTTCAGCCTTCTTTTTCTCGCATTCCAGGGTAGCATTCTCAACCTTGAGCTGAAAAAGCTCATCATCGTCCTCCACTTTTCTTGCCTTCAAAGATTTTAGTTCATCTTCAATTTCCAACTTTCTAAGCTCCAGAGCCTTATACTTCCCTTCGAATTCTTTATAATCGCTCTTCCATATTTCCATCTCTGCTTCCAATCCTCTAATCCTCGCTTCAGCATTCTTAATCCTCTCTTCCGATTCATTACGCCTCGAAACCGGTTCACTTCCCTCCAACACTTCAAGGTTTGGAGTTTTGCTTTCCACTTCAGCATTCATCACCATATTTCGGATCAGATACTAGACATTAAAGACAGGACTGCTGCCCCTAACTGTTCGTGTTCATACATTTGAAAGTTGAAACCAAATGAGTTACAATAGCAGTAGAAATTAAGGAACCAAACGCAAATGTAGGCAACAAAATGCCCGAACACTACGGCCGTCTAGTGAAAACCAAACCCTAAAACTCGAAATTCTCACCCATCAAGACATTACTACACTGAAAGATCGCAACTTTACTGTGCCCCCATCTAAACCTAATCAACTACGTTCTTACTGTGACAACCTGAAAAAGAATTGACCTTTAACCAACAAAGTCAAGTTCTCGCAGCTATTTGTTACTTTCCGCAGCTCTCTGACTCGATTTTTGTAAAACCAACGAAGGGGGAACTACACCCAAGAAAAAAAAGGAACCAAAAGTTCACACTTCGCCCTAGATTTTCCTGGAAACCAAACGGCGATGGAAGGGAGGAAGCAAAGCGAGCAGAACTGCAGAAGTGAGGCGAGAAGGTGGAGAAGTAGCTTACCTGGCTACCACTAGTGTCTAGGGCTTCGCGGGAGTTCTCCTTCTTCGCGCAACAGCGGGTGAAGTTGCGAGGGAATATGGCAAGAGCGGGTGAAGACAGTTACGAGGGAATAGGGAAAGAGCGAGTCAAAACTCAAAACAGCGAGGTTTTGTAACTGCCTGCGTGGCGAGCGTTACAGTAACGGTGGAACGGGCAACGCGGCGACGGAGGAATAGAATCCGGCTTGTAATGCCACGTCGGAACGAAGATCTGTGACTGAACGGTCAACAAAGGTACGGTGTCGTAATAGCATGGTTGTCATGCCCGTGGCATGCCACCCGGTTGAATCTGGTTCAACCTGTGCCGGTCATGAAACTGGCATGACAACACTGGTATGATCGACTTACGCATTCTAAGTAAAATGACATTATTTTAATTAATTTAATGAATAAAAAAATTCATTTATTATTCAATTTATGAATGTAACAGTTAAAAGTTGATTATATTTGTTGGATTGTAACTAAATTGTCCACAAATATGTTTTATATATGATTAAATACATTGGATATTAATTGTCTTCGCATTTTTTTTAAAACCGGCATGAACCGGCACAAACTGGTTATACCACAGGTCGTACCATTCCACTTGCCAAACCGGTACAACGGTATAAACCGGTTTGACAACCTTGCGTAATAATTTGATTTATGTGATCGTACCTACCAAATAGTGGCGGATCCAGAACGGGTTAGAGCACTAGGCCGCATTTAAAAAGCAGTGGAGATGGTTGGGCCGTAACCCTATAAACATTGAAATATATACCCAAAATCGAAAATTTACAAGTACTATACGAGCTTTGGATCCGGAGAGGGCTGGGCCGTTGGCCGGGGGCAGCCCCCTAGTTCCGCCACTGCTACCAAATCGTAATAAAGTGGAAAATTTCAGCTTAGTAATCGCACCTACCAACTCATAAGGCATTTGGATGGTTAATTCGCGGTTTAATATCAATCGATCTACAAATAATTTAAACGTAATAGGTAAGTGATTTATGTGAGTGGATAGCAATCAAAAAAATTCTAACCGCATTTATTTGGATGAGTGGGTTGCGAGCCACCCATTTGACCCACATTCCACTTTGACTGACAAAAAATTGTTTTTTATTTATATTATTATTAATAATCTTATTTTCTAACACACTAATCATCGACTACTAAAAGTGATAAATAAAAAAATATTTTTGAACCACTACTAATGGTTACTATGTTGTATAATGTCAATTTGATATTTAGATATAAATTATAAACTGTTAATTGTATTAAAGTCATATATAATCAAAGATTTGACACCATGTCAAATAATTGGAATCCACACAAGTAAAACCCCTTGTTCTCTAAGAATATGTGGTAAGTGTTTTCTTTTAACGAATACGTCATTCAAAGTGATCAACTGAATCAAGTAACAAAAAACTTACATGTCATAACTTCTAGACGAATCCACAGAAGACAAAGTCGAAAGTGGCTAAATGAACAGTGTCTTTTTAATTTGCAAAAAATTTAGGGTAAATACAATATATTAGCCACAATTATTCTGAAGCGGGGAATTATAGCCACAACTATGTAAATTCAAATTGTTAGCCAAACGATTAACTCCATGTTAAGATTTTGTCACCCAAATACCATTTGCCGGCATTTGCCAGGCTCATAATAATGAATCAAACAACCAACCGCTTCCACCACTGAGATGGACAAAATCATTATATAGCGTAGAGATAAACAGACTTCAAACTGTACACAATTCATTAGCTTCCTACAAAATAACTAGGCGTGCTGAAACAGTTTAATTAGTCAGACTGCTAGCTAGACTGCACACAAAATAAGCAGTGACCTCACCATCCTACATGAAGGAAAGGCTTTTCCAGAGTTTGAAGACTCCCTTGCTTTTACTTGTAGCCCACGGCTTTACCAGAGATCATCCTCCTCGTTCTCGTAAATCTCGAACAGTTGCCTCGCATGATACAATGCGATTTCCCTGCAGGTCTCGACTCCATCAGGAAACTCTGCTCGTAACTCTGCCACATTTCGCTTCATATCACCATCAGGATCCTCATCCGTGAGAAACTCCGCGATCTCGGAGCCCCTGCAAGTGATTCATAGCAATCAGCAACCAAACATGTCCAGAACAAATGAAGAATCAGCACAGTAAGGGGGTTCAGATGCTTTTACATGGGAGCATGAGTCTGGCTGAATCCTCGCCCATTGCGGTGAAATGTAAGCCCCTCTTCACGTTCATCGGGAGTTTGCATTCGATAAAGGGTACAGACAGCCATCATGCACAGCATATCATCTTTCTCGAAATCCGCAGCTAGATCCCAGGAGGACTCCCAATCCTTATCTCTTTGAAGCTTGTACACAATCTCTTGTTTTACAGCTGTGCCAGATGGACAACTAGCGACGCACGTCTTCGTACCATCGTCAAGGTAATGATGATTGTTAATCTTGCTCTTCAGACTGATTTCAGGAGATTTCTCATCTTCGATGCCTGTACTCAATGACAAAGTGCAGAGCTTTGAGCCAGGATAAGAAGATTTGAGATCTTCAGGAGCTGATGGAGCCATCTCTCCAACGTTCTTGTTTTCTTCTTTAAAAAACAACTGTGTTCTGGCTAGTCTATCAGTACTTATGCCTCCACATTTCTCCCCTCCAATAAAGGGATTGTATTGGCTTGGAAGATTGCTACCTGGTGTAGCTGTCAGCAGGAAGTGAAACAGTTATAGAGATAACACTTTGACATCTTTCGATATTACATACTCAATTACTGAGAACACTTGAGATTTTAATACACAGAATCATGGTTGTAACTTGGAAGAACATGCAATGCGATCAACAACAAGTTTCTAATCAGCATCCTTGGTATTCATAAGAGGAAACACTGAATTTATATATCAGACAAAATCCACTTACTGACTTACCCAAAATGTCAGAAGTAGCTCCAGGAGCCTGCTGTTGATCCACCTGCAAGTCATCTGCCCTGATTTCAAGACTCAGCCAGTCTTTTCCCACCTTAGAGCCCAATTCTTGGGACATTCGTCTCAAAACTTTGGCCTCGTCCTCAGCCTTCGTCTTCTTCTTCTCGCGTTCCAGGGCAAGCTCCAGTGCCTCATACTTCTCCTTGAGCTCTTCATACTCACTGTTCCTAACTTGAATCTCGGCTTCCAAGCCTCTAATTCTCGTTTCAGCCTGCTTGATCCTCTCCCATTTTGTTACACCTCGAATCCGACACACTTTCCACCTCCAAGAGTTCACGCCTTTCTGCCTTCGCACCTTGATCCCCAATTCACCTCCATTCGCCGCCATGTCACTCTACAGGCAAGGGAAAATCCACCAGTCTTGCTAACTGCGATTCATAGAATTGAACCGAAGGGGTTAACAATAGCAGTAGAATACACACAAAGGTACACCAACGCAATGAACATTATTGGATCTGTGAGGTGAGAAGCAAACCCTAAACCTCAAGTGTTGATGCTTTTTCATGGCCATAACAGAATACAGGCAAGGAAACACAACCGAAAGAGGCGAAGAAACTACGACATTACACTGACGAATCTTTTTGGGACCAATCAACAGAAGCTACCACGTTACTACTTCGAGTCTGTGGCAACTAAGTGGGGGGAAAGAACCCATCTTTAACCTACAAAAGCAATTTCTTATCCAAAACAGTGAACGACCCATTGCAGCTACGTAATCCTTTCGCACAATTCTTTCAGAGAACCTTGTGAAACCAAAGTTGGAAACCCAAGTTACAGAGTTGCCAAAGTTCACACCTTTGATCTCACGAAAACCAAACAGGGAACCAGAAACCAGAACGAGCAGAGCAGAGCAGAGTGTTAAACCTTACATGAATACCTCTAGGGTTTCTCGGGGACTTTTCTCCTTCGTGGAAGCAGTTGAAGTTATAAGGAAAAAGATGGAGAGAATCGTCCGATCATATATTCATAGTGCGAGATAGGCGCGTAGGGTGGGACAGTTTTATAAACTGTTGCCAAATGATCCAGTAACGGTCACAGCCAGTGACGGGGGAGTGGAGCAACCCGAACCGCCTTGGTAAGGCCACGTGTAAACAAGTCTCTCGTTTGTCAACCTGATTTAATCCGTTGGTACGGTCTAGCAAGTGAGTGAAGGATCGATGATCCCATCGTTTTAGACTTATTTAGTCCGGATATATGAACAAAGTCATTATATTGTTAATACATATATAAATTTTATCAAATCTCATCTAATATATGAGTAATAATGTTTAAAATTACACGAAAATAATAGTTCGTACGTGAATACGACATATAGTAAATTCAAACACACTTCAATCCGCCATATAATATATTTATTGGCACTTTGAATGAACTGGAACAACCCGTGAAAGCCAAGCAAAGTGGCCTTCTGGAATGAAAGTTTGTTGATCGGTTTTGTCGGGTTTGACCAGGTTGAGATGGGTTTGATGAATCCGGGCTAAGTTCAAAATGGGTGTGCCCGTTTTCCCACCGGGTCAGGGTCAACACACAGGGTGATTCCCGGGTTGACAATGACAACCTTGCTCTCACTCGACGAGTCTATGAAAATAATTGTGTCGTTTCACCTACTTGTTTTCCTTGAAAGTCGGTTACTCTCCCTCAAAATTCCTCACCAATTTGTTTACGGACGGTTTGAAATAAAATGAATTGAGAATTCATTTCGTTTTAAAATGCATTTCTATGTTTGGAATGCCATATTAAAAATTTTATAAATAAATTGCATAGAATTCCCAAATCGTGTTTGGAATATGTTCATAATTGAATTAAATTAAAAGTTTTCAACGATACGCTTCTTAATTTCCATCAAACATAAAATTGCTATCGCTCATTGAAAATCAATCTTCTAAAAACACAAGTGTTAAAGTTATCATCAAACCAATTCGACCAACTACAAAACGAACTTCGTAAAAAATCGTAAACCACTTGAAGATCCATCTTCTAAAGTCATTCATTATAACTAATTTTTCTCGTGAACGAAGAGACATTATTCTCCCAATCCCCATGATTATATATTAGGTTAAGTAGCGGCTGAGTGAGAAAGGTTAGCCGCACAATCATGTATTGTTGGCACCAAATTATGTCTTTCCACTTTGCTTTGCCTCGTACATACATCTCACACGTTTCAGAATCGACACTTGCCCTAAGTTGTTGATTGGTCATGTTAGAATCTTGAGTCTACCGAGCAGCACATAACTGACAATATATACATTCCATTAGTTGATTCAGAGTTTCCTACCGGAGAAGAGTTATACATTGCTTGGCACACAAGGCAAAAAACTAGGAGTGCCGGATAGTAACTTAGCTAGACTGGTGGTTAGACGATTTACATACAAAATAAGTGCACTGATCTTCCTTTTCAGAAAGCTAGGCTTCCCAGAGTTCATGGCCTGCAATCACTAAAAAGGCAAATCTTGTTCTCTGCACTTTGCTTCACTTGTTATGCACGGCTTGCCAGAAATGGTCCTCTTTGTTCTCGTAGATCTCGAACAGTTGCTTATTATAAATAGTAGCCATTTCTCTGCACGCTTGAAGACCGTCATCAGGATCTGGAAATCGTGCTTGTAATTCTTCCACAGACTTGTTCATATCACCAAGGAGATCCCCATCCGTGAGAAAGTCTGAGATCTCGGATCCCCTGTGAGGTGATGAGTAGAGCACTCGGTAATTAAGCATGTTCTGGACAAACAATGAAAAAGATTGTGCCATTGGGTTGCAGGAATGAGAGTTCAGATGTTTTACCTGCGAGCATCATCTTGGCTAAACCCTCTCCCATTGGCATCGCGTGTTACCTTGAACATTCGTTCATAAGATGTTTGCTGTCGGTAAAGAACACAGACCGCCATCATACACAGATCGGGTTCCTTAAAGGCTGCAAGCATGTCGCCACGTAGCTTCCAATTGAACGACCAATCCAATTTTGATGCAATCTTCCCTTTTGGGGTGCCAATGCACTTAAGGGGGGAGGTTGTTCTAACATCAAACTGACGGATATCCTCCTCAGTGCCTGTACTTCTTGCTGAACTGCTGATCTTTAAACCAGGAAAAGAAAATTTGGGGTAGCCAGGAGTTGATGGAGCAAATTTTATAACGTGATCTCTTTCTTCTTCAGCATACGACAGTCTTCTAGCACTTGTACGACTTACAATGCCTCTGGATTTCGGTCCTCCAAAACAGGATCTGCCCTGGCTTGGAACATTGTTAACTGGTGTTGCTGTCAGCGGAAAGTAAAGCAGATTTAGATATCACAATCGGCATTTTTGGATACACAAGCAGAACTATGAGATCTGAATAAATAAACAGAAGCATGGCTGGAACTTGGAAGATGATGTACTGGGGTCAGTAACAAGTGCTGAACCCCATAGGCCATCACTTCTATTCTAATTAGCATCCTACGCCTTCTAAGATGAAGCACTAAGCTGATGAAATTAAATCTAATTCATAAGTCCATGACAGATATTAAGCAATGCTCTTACCCAATAAGTCAGAAGTAGCTCCAGAAGCTGGCCGTGGATCCACCTGCAAGTCATCTAACCTGATCTTAAGATTCAGTCCATCTTTTCCCACTTTAGAGCTCAATTCATGGGACATTCGTCTCAAACCTTCAACCTCCAGCACCATACCCTTCTTCTTCCTTTCACATTCCAGGGCAAGCTCTAGCGCCTCATACTTCTCCTGAAGTTCTTCATACTCATTCTTTCTCATTTCAATCTCCGTTTCCAAGCCTCTAATTCTCGCTTCATCCTGCTTAATCCTCTTCCGTTTCACTACACCTCGAACCCGGCACACTCTCCAACTCCAACAGTTCCCGCCTTTCTGCCCTCGCACTTCTCCATTCTTAGTCATGTCACATTACAGGCAAGATCCACCGGCCTTGCAAACTGTGGTTCATAAAATTGAACCAAAGGAATTCATAAAAAAACAGCAGAATCAAGAGCATATACACAATATGCATACCCTAAAGCTCGATTCTCGATGATTTCTTTTTTGGTCATGAAAGAATAGAAGCGAAGAACACACAACCAAGTGAAGGCCAACAACTACGAACAATCCACTGAAAGATCGTTTTAGTCGTGTGAGCAATCAACAAAAGCAACTACCTAACTGAGGGGGGAAAAGCGTATCTATTAACCTAAAAAAAGCAAGTTCCAAGGCGTCAGCTATAACAAGAATCGACCCATCACAGATGCTCATATGCTCATTCCTTCCCACAGCTCTTTGAGTCAAATTCGTAAAGCCAAAGCTGGAAACCCAAGATCCAAAGTAGACAAAGTTCGCACCTTTGACCTCAGGAAACCAAACAGAGAAGGAGTAGAGTGAAGTGAAGTGTTAAAACTCACCCGGCCAAATCTAGGGTTTGTGGGCAGCTTTCTCCTTAGCGCAACTGAAAAAAAAAAATGATCGAAAGTGTCTCCAGATCAGTCCAGCCAGTGACAGTGTGAGAAAGGCGCGCAGAGAGGGAGGGAGTTTAATAACCGGTGACAAATATACACAGTAAACGGTTAAAACCGGTGACGTGGAGGTCGGGCAACCATGACTTGCGGATGAAGGAGTCAACGAAACGACGTCGTAAAGATTGAAAGACGGACAGATAGTCTATAGATAATTTGGGCCTGTACTGATAATTATCCGTTGGACCAAATCTATATGATGAAACAAACCTGTGCGGGCCGCTAGTTTTTTTATCCAGATTTCAAATTGGACCCACAACCATATGGCTAAAATGAAACACAAAATTTTGAAGGGTGAGAGTGGAATGAGAAATTCAACCCGAATTCATCGGTACCCAATTCAACTTAACTTGGTTAAATTGGGTAAAATTTAGTATTGATGAATTCCGACCTGTTTTTGGAATTAGTGATTTGGATTTGGGATTTGCCAAAACACAACTCGTTTGTCACCCGTAAAGAAAATCAAAGTTATTTTGAATCTAACCGAAACAATAGGAACAAATTATGAATGATATTAGTCTTGATGGTAATATAAACATGGTAATATAGATAATTTAATGAATGTTAGTAGTCTTTTATGGAGATATTAGTAGGCAAAATTTGAATAACATTATGGTGTGGGTGTTATGATTCTAAATGTATTGGTAGCCATGCATATGTGGGTATTCGTTGGCTTGAATTGCGTCTTCACTTTTTATATTCAATTTGTACTTTGTTAGCTTGTTTTAATGAGGCGCTTATTGGATTGAGTTTGAATTGATAGAAACTCGACCTGATCCGACCTATTATGATCCTCCCCGAGAGGTTAATAATTGGTAAAGAAGTAGGTGGCAAGAGCTAAATTCTTTTGTTGTTGGTTGGGAGGGGGACCAAATTAATTTGAATCATGTAATCAAATTAATTGGGATATGAAAGGGAAATGGTCCAAACAGTACTCCAAAATGTAGCAGACATTCCTGTGGGGAAGAAATTGGTATTCACAAGACAATTTATCTCCAACCAATTTTCATCCGCCTAAACACTTGTTGTAATGTCGTTGTCATAAAAGAAAATGCTAAGTTTTTTTGTACTATAATTAATACATTTCAGTGGGCAATTAAAGGTTGAAATAGCTAATACAATATGCATCATAATTATTTTTCCAAAATTTTCTCATTTAAATTATCCAAATTAATTTGGTAGCTCCTACTTTAGGATATTCTCTCATGCTATTTAAACTCCATTCTTTTCTCAAGTTTGTTGTTAGGTGTGATTTTTTTAATAATGGTGATATATGTTTGTTTAAAAAATTAGGTGCTACTTAAGTGATTTGAACCTGTAACTTTCAGGATCATGACCACCGGATAAGCCCTTTGTTCACTTAAATGTGGTTCTTATATTAGTAGTTATTGACTTTTCTAAGAAAGGAATCATCAATTCATAGATCCTAGGTTTAGAGTTGAGCCCATGCAACTTCTAATATAATCTAAGGAAGATATCAAAGAATAAAAATTGCTGCAAATGATGACTCTTTCTAGGAGCAATCGTGCAATCTTTATGCTTATGTTTTGAATATACCGAAAGAGATAGTGAAATCGGAAGTTAATAAAGAGAATGTGTCCTTAAATGTCATAGGTAACTTTGGGTTAGAGTAGTGAAAACTCGTCAAGAAGAAGAAGAAGGGTAATGAGGAACTCATCCATTCTTAACTTATTTATATTTTAAATTTTTTAATTTGTTCGTACCCTAAAAAATGAAGCATACTTTTCGGATCTACCCATATCATCTTTTTCATCACCATAATCTGTAATGAATTCTACAACATCAAGAAAGAAAAGAAAAATATCAGAACGATCAAACACAATTTAGCAACTTGAGAAGTAGCTTCTACCTATGACTTTTTTGAATCCAAATCAAGTATTAAGTCATGAATGGATTTGGGGAATAATGTCATAATATTACTGCGTACTTGCGACTTGATTTTATTTTCACAAGATTTATGTTGATCATTCTATAAAGATAGCAAAGTGATAGTTTCGTCTAGAGAAAATTAAATTATGCACAAAAGATTTGTAAGAGACTTAAATCTTCAGTACGATATAAGACGTCTTAGATAAATTCAAAATACTCTTATCCTATATGAACCTTATATTTTTCTAGAACCAAACCCCTCTTCATTTCTCGGACAAGTCATATTTCAGTTTCTTGAAGCACCCTCATTTTCTTCAATAAAATCACAAACTTTCATGTAGTTCTCGATTAATACGTTGTTCCATGTAAGCATTGCTTTTATTTTTTATTTTATGTCATCCATCATTTCTGGACTAAGTTTGTAAATGGTAAAAATATGTTCCTTAAGTCATTGATCATCATAGAGAAGTTTTTGTATGAAGAAAATGAATGTGTTGTCTGACTTGCATCTCCCAGGGACAGATGGTTGCAAATAAATTGGTATTTGTGATACATATAACACCATGGTATATTAAATGATAGTTTTATTGCATTAGGAAAAGAAAATATAGCAAGAAATCATTTCTGGATAGTTTAGAAATGCATATATAACTTTATTATAGCATAATTATCTTCTACATCTTGTACTGTAATATGCAAATAAAGAATTGAATGAACTTATTGATTATTTTGTTGTCCTCAAGAAGTTTATATATATCATTCTTTGTGAGATAAAGTCTGACAAACTCAAGCATCAAGTTCCTTCAAAACTAAAATATTCTATTATGGGAGTGTTAAGGCCTTGAATAAGGTTATTGAAAAGGAGGCTAATGTTAAATAATTTTTACAAAACAATGAGATAAATTCTTATCTATTCATTTTCTCTATTGCTCATAAATATATATTCAATAAATCTTCTATCCCCCCCCCCCGTCGTTTTTGTCTTACAGACGAAAGTAAGGATGAAAATAATAAGTTTGCAGCTAATAGATATTGATTGACATTCATTTTCAAGTTATAAAATATAATAAACCTGTCACATATTAACATGAATGATCTTGAGAGAACTAACAATTTCAACTTTTATGTCTTCCATCTTAATGGTTCGGTTAACCAAACCAACAAACTCTCAAATAATTTCCATTATCAAATAGTTTTTTCGGAAGTGAAATGGATGGAGATATAATGATGCACCAAGGTCGTAGTTATGAAAAATGGATGACCATTATCATAGAAATCTACCGATAACATGCAACGATATCAGTTAATTGTATACTTATTATAATAACTCTTTGTAACGAGTGACAAATAGAGAATAAGGGGGAAAAACTCTCAGAAGAACATGGAAATCTTTTCAAACATATGTGTGCATAGCTAATTGATTGGTGCTCCATTTCTAATTAGTATAAATAGTATTGGTTCCTTATTATGTTAATTTAATCCGCATTATCTCCTACGCATATATTTAAGGCGTCATCCCCTTACAACTCAATGAAATTGATTATTTTGTTGATCTCAAAATGTTTATAGCATTCTTTGTGAGATGCAATTTGACAAATACAAGTATCAAGTTTCTTTGAAACTCAAAGATTATATTGTATGAGTGTTAAGGCCTAGAAGAAGTTTATTTATTGAATAGGAGGCCGATGTGTTAAGTAAACTTGAAAAAAACAGTGAGGTAAGTTTCTATATATATTTGTTTTCTCCGTTGCTCATAAATATATATTCAATATATTGTGAGATTATTGGTAATCGCTCACCAAAAACATTAGCTTTTCTTGCTATTGTGCCTGAAGGTTGGAGGAAAATATTCTCAACATTGAATTCATGTTTTTGTTTCCTAGTATCATTCACAAAATTCGACAACCAAAACTCACCAATACCATATATATGCTTGCACAGATTCGATGGTATTGTTTACTCGAGGTCATTACACAATGGCACTTGCAGAAGTTACGAAGAATGAAGATGAAGGGTTAGATCGATGATGTGGGTGGGCTTATGGACGACTATTTGGTATCAGTTTCCCAATTAAAACAAAAACAAGATCGTATAAACATGTTCGGTTGTAACCGAAAATCATATGCAACCAATCCAATCTAGTTTACGGTTGTAACAAAGAATGCAAAAACCAAATGATCAGGTTTGGTTCGGTTAAAACCGGATAACACTAAAGCACTCCCATCCCAGCCCGCCCCTACATGACCCTAACCCTACTTTCAGATTCCCAAATCCAAATCTCTGCCTCTGCCTCTCCCTCTCCATTTCCATCTCCAAATCTCTACACTCACTGAAACTCATCTCTTATATGGTGTCTTCCTTTGGGCTTACCACCCACTTTACTCATTAATGAATCTTCATAGTAAAAAAATAATTAATTTCCTTACTTCACACATTATTTACCGATTTGTAGCTCACCTCGTTGTAGATTATTAAAGGTAGAATCAAATAAGATGATGGGAGGGACATTGTTAGAGAAAAGAAACTGAATTTAAATGATATGTTTAAGAAAAAAATTGAAATTAAAGGGGCTTATTTAGGAAAAAAATGAAGTGAACTGAAAAGAATATACAATTTTTTCGTTTCATAATCACTTTATCGGAAACATAACAACAAACATACATAAACAATTTATTTAGGGGGGGAAAAGTTTGAAATCGATAAGCTAGTTAAGAGGGGAAAATGTTAGACTTAAGGGGTCGTTTGGAAGTTGCGATTGTTTTGTTGAGATTGTCATTATGCATGTATTGTTTACAATGCATCTTTTTTTGTTTTTTTTAGCAGAAACAATACATGAATTGTTTCTGTGATGTGATAGAAACTATCATTCATTTTGAGTGATTGTTATATCTCAACTTTTAGTTGTGATTGTTGAGATAGTTGAGTTGAGATTGTTTTGTCTGATGCGACATACACAATCACACATACCAAACGTTGTATTCTACAATGCATCAAATTCGACAATACATGTATAATATTATACATGCATTCTCAACAATACATCTATTTAACAATCACAACTTCCAAACGACCGCTTAGTCAGAAACAATCCATATAAATTCAGGAGCTTGATAATACATTAACTCATAAAACGTCAATCACCAAGTTGTTCATCACTGGTAATTGACCCTTGATACAATTTCATGTAACATGCCAATAGAAATGAATTCAATTAGCGTCCTTTTGT